TGGCCCTAAAAGCTTTTTAATAAGATGAGATCCCAGTTGTTGATTCTTTTTTTTTGTTTTTTGGGGATTTTTTTAGTACCAGGTGTTGAACGCAGGACCTTGCACTTGCAAGGCAGGTGTGGTACCACTGAACTAAATTCCCGGCCCTAACCATGAGTTTTTAATTGTGCCACAGTGTCCTACTCCCTTGCTAGAAAGAGATTTACCAGTAAAATGGGAGTTCTCAAATTGTGGCTAAGGCTAAAACGGATTTTACTTGTTAGGACTATGTCAGGTCTCCCTGGTCAAATTAGCCAGCAGGAGGATTCTGCTGCATGGTATAATGGAAAACCTGGTAGGTCAAATTCAGCTATGCCAGTAGTTATAAGACTAAAAGACCCAGCTGATTTCCTAACCGAAGGCAGTATCCAGTCAAGGAAGAGGCATGTAAAGGTCTCCAGTCTCTCATAGGCTTCTCAAACCTACTTGTCAGGCCCCTTGGAATACTCCTGTTCTCCCTATGGAAGTGCCCTCAAGAGAGTACAGGGTGGTACAAGACCTCCACCTCATTAATGAGACTGTCATTCCAATCCATCTTTTAGTGCCAGATCCATATACAATTCTCTCCCAAATTCCAGGGGATACTAATTAGTTCTCAGTCTTAGATTTAAAAGATGCATTTTCTCCATCCCCCTACATCCAGACTTCCAATTTCTGTTTGCCTATGAATGGGAAAATCCCATTTCAAGAGAAAACAGCAATATTCTTGGACAATTCTCCCACAGGAGTGTAGAGGCAATCCTCATCTTTTTGCTTGGGAGCTAGAAAAAGACTTGAACTTAAAGCTTAAATAGGGAGCCATCCTATAGTACACAGATGATATTCTAGTTTGTTGTCCAACTCAGAAATTATCTAACTTATAACACTGTATAGACTCTCAACTTTCTAGCTAAGAAGAGATATAAAGTCTCCAAAGAAAAGGTTCAGATATCCCTCCAAAAAATTCAATATCTGAGATAGCCCAAAAGAGAGCTATTCTTGTGAACCTATAGAAAACTTGAAATTTCTTTTTCTTTCTTTTTTTTTTTTTTTGGTACCGGGGATCAAACTCAGGTCCTTGCGCTTTCGAGGCAGGCGGTGGAGCCACTGAGCTAAATCCCTGGCCCACTTGAGATTTCTTTTTAAAAGCAAGACTTCAATATCTATTATAAATTTTGGTCCTCATTTACACTTTCAGTTTCTCACAGCAGAAAAACAATGCAGTATTTACAATTGTATGTCTGATTTAGATATTGTGAAATCGGAAGAGAATGTTCAAATGGGTAGGGGAACTAGGGAGAGGGTGGGGAAAGGAAAGAAGGGAAAGGAAAAGAGAAAAGAAGGTAAAAAATGGTAGCAATGCTTTTGTAAATGAGGGGAAGAGGGATTAAAGGGAGGGTAGGGGAATGGGAAACAATAAGAATCAAGATATAGCATGTATAGGTACAAATTCCCTATGATGAATGTGATCATTATGTACACCTAAAATGTACCAATAAACAATTAATTTAAAAAGAGCAGGGCCAGGGATTTAGCTCAGTGCTGCTGCACCTGCCTTGCAAGTGCAAGGTCCTGAGTTTGATATCCAGTACTAGGTTGGGGGTGGGGGAGCAAGACTTCTGTGTTGCTACAGGAAGTGTGGAAATCTGACCTGCTCCTCGTATTTGGGCTAATAGTGAAGGTCAATGGTCATTAACTTTTCTCGTTTCCTGACAGTTTTTTTTTTTTCTTCAACCCACCCAATGACCATAGCACCTCAAAGTAGTTGGAGAGCACATGATCCTAGTAGGAAGGGTCTACAGCCCCTTTCAGCTTGAAGAAGCTATCAAAGACAGATCTCCATTCCCTCAGCACCCTATAAAGAATTATGGGGTTTTGTGTCTCTCAGGGAGAAATGAGATAGGAGATTAGGGTGTGGCAAGACTGGCTGGGGAAAGTAGGTGTGATCTGTTAATTAAAGATCCCGGAACACATGTGCAGATCAGCTGTCAAAACCCTGCCCCTAGACTTCTCATGAAAACTGGAACGGGTTTTGTTTTTTTGTGTGTGGTACTGGGGATCAAACTCAGGACCTTAATCTTGCCAGGCAGGCACGGTGCCACTGAGCTACATCCCCTGCCTGGAACAGGTTTTTGATAGGATGGCCTTGACCTGACATCAGCCTGAGGTGTGGGATCCCAGCACTGCCTCTCAGGACCCATATATAGCAGTTCTAGCAGGTTTCCTTGAGATTTGGACAGCATAAAAGAGGCAGACATGAAGAGCTTGGTACGTTGGCTTTTTCTAGCCCACTCTGCTTTCTCCAGAGTGTTCTTTTATCTTTTCCCTTTTTTTCTTAGCCTATGCTTGGTTTGCAGAGCCAGTTTCTCCCCCTCTCTTCACTTTTACTTTCTTGAACAAACGTGGCCACTGGTTTTTACTTGCTTTGTTCAATTCGAGAAGAATCTGGAATCTAACTCCAGAGGGAAAGAGGAGTAACTCAGAATCTGATAACGTTAGATGGCGAGCCGCTTTTAGAAGCAGCCTACCCAAAAACACTACCTGGATTAGGGATTTTCTTTGGAGGTGATGAAAATGATTTGGAACCAGACACAAAGGTTGTACAACGTGGTGAATATATTAAAAGAGACCAGAGATTATAACCCTAAAATATGGCACCCTGGGAGGCAGTTTATTTTACAGTAATTTAGAGGGCAGCAAATGCAATCACATTTCTGCCACACACCCCACCCCCTGCTGTGATTTCCTATTTTGTATGTTAATAAATTTGTATACCTCTCCTTCGGTCAGTTCATTCCATCAAACCTTCAGAAGCCGAGGGAGAGTCTTTAATTTTGCTGCTATATAGTAAACACCAGTACGGTGTAAACTTTATTTATTTATCGTGATACTAGGGATTGGATCTTTGCACAAAGCTACATTCCTAGTCCCCCCCCCCCTTTTTCTTTGGTACCAGGGATCGAACTCAGGACCTTGCGCTTGCAAGGCAGGCACCCAAACCTCTGAGCTAAATCCCCGGCCCTCTAGTCCCCTTTTTAAACATTATGAGACAAGGTCTCACTGTTGCAAAATTGCTCAGGCTGTGCTCGAACTTGAGATTCACCGGACACAGCCTCCTAGAAAGCTGGGATTACAGACATGCATCACCACGCCCAGATAACTGTAAACTATAAAATGGATTATTTTCTGTTTTCCAAATACTACCTAAAAAAATCCTGAATCGGTAGCCAAGATATTGAAACGCAGTGTGGAATTATTCTTACATTCAGTTTACCAACCGGTGATACCTACTTCCATTCAACTCTTGCAGACCAATCCAAGTGATCTATCACCAGTCTGTAAGGAGGGGCCCTAGGGTTGACCGGGGAGCCCGGCAACTCCAAGGCGTGGCCTGGGCGGGGCGGGGCTGGGCTAGGGCGCGCGTTCGGAGGCGTGGCCTGGGCGTGGCGGAAGGCGCGCCCGGCCCGCGCCCGAGCCAGTTGCCTTGAGAACGCTGAACAACAGAAGGCGCGGGAGGCCGCGGCCCCACCAAGCGAGGCGGGGCGTACTGCGCTCCCCACCTGAGACCCAGGCTTTCCTGAGCCGGTCAGTGCGCGGCGGCGCGGGCAGCAGGCGACCCCCTGAGCCCGCCGTGGGGAGAAGGGTCGCAGCGGGAGGGGAGGTCGGGGCGCAGCGGGGTGGAGGGGGCGCCGGGCTCGCCTTTGGATCTTGGCGGGCGAGCGACGCAGGGCAGTACTGCTTCCGGAGGAAGATCCAGTGTTACCCCCCCAGAGGAGGAGGTCGGGTTTCCCCAAGAGGAGTACGTGGAGCCCCCTCCCCAGAAGAAAGGGGTCAGGTTCCCCCCCCCCCGGAGGAGAAGGTCGCCCCGAGTTTGCACGTGCCCGCTCCCCCTCCGGGACGTGCGGAGGGACAGGGAAGTGTCTTAATGAGAATATCAGTTATTAACCAACCACAAGTTTTAGACAGTCGCTGTTTTCTGAGAAACTAAGAGCACAGGATGGCAACGGTATTTGGGAATAACCATTCCTGATGCACGACATGGCATTAAGTATCTTGGCTTTAGTCACACTTCCAAAACCCATTGAGAATCTGAACAAGTAGATGTGCTATGGATTTTCAAAAAACGTCTTTTTATAGGCCATTATTATGTTTTGGTTTTTTTTGGTACCTGGGATCGAACCCTGGACCTTGCGTTTGCATGGCAGGCGCCAGAACCACTGAGCTAAATCCAGGCCCCTATAGGCCATTATTATGAATGATTAGAATAGATGAGTTTCAGACGCCCGTTCAGTCAAATTGTAGATTTTCCCATCATAAAACCAAGAAAGTGAAAGTACACCAGTTACTTTGTTTTGAGGCAGAGACTCACTATGTTAAGGCTGGCCTTGAATTCACCACAGAGCCCAGGCTGTCCTTGAACTCTGGGGAATCCTCCGGGCTCAGCCTCAAGAGTGCTGGGATTACAGGCATGTGACACGCCCAGCTGCATTTGATTATTTTTTTACTAGCAATTTCATTGAAAGCAGTTAGGTTTGGTTTAACATAGACCATGACTTTTGCTTCAATGTGATGCAAGTAAACTTGATCCGTATGATGAATTGGAGATGTTAGGAGACATTTGGAGGAGTCCACTCAGTCATCAGCCCTGCAGTCTGGAAGTTTCTGGTACCAGTGACTATAAGGTCCTGTAGTTTGTAAGAAAGCATTTACCATACATATGAGTATTTATTTTATCAATGTAGAATTTCATTCCAATGATTAAAGCTGGCAAGATTAGCTTTATCTCTTTAGGCCACTAATAGTAACTTGTTGACTCTTTTTTGGGATTTTGCAGCCCAAGGAAGCTGATTTTTTTAAAACTCTCAGTGGGATCCTAGTAATGTGATGTAAATGATTTTTGTTTTGATCTTCTTCAGACGATACACCCAACTATAAATGCAAGTACTGCTGCTGAGTTTTTAAAGACATATTAAATATGTTGTCATTAATACTTCCATAGCAAGTAGTGTGTAGAATGTTATTTTCTGTCCAATAGTCTCCTGTGTTAATGATTGTGTACGAGACTCAGGTTTTTTAAAGGGCCCATCTCATCCTGACCTGATTATTTTTCATCATCTGCACTTAAAAGTTATTATCACTTACCTGTTACTTTTAAAGCTTTTATATGGTTGTAAGCTTTATCTTACCAAGACTGAATATTGCTGTAAAGGTTTTTTGAAAACATGTTTTTCATTTTCCTTGGCAGTAGAATTGCTGGGTCAAATGATAGTTTTGTTTCACTTTTTTATGAACTGCCAGTCTGTTTTCCATAGAAGATGTACATTTTACCTTCCCACCAGAAATGTATGAGAGTTCCAGCTATACCTTTCCTGACACTTTTGATTAATCTTTTCTTTTTTTGCATAGCTCTTTTTTTTTGTTAAATTCTTTTATTGGTACATTTTAGGTATACAACACAATTACATTTCTCATAATGCATCGTGGTTCTTATTTTTTCCCCATTCCTAGCCCTCCCTTCACCCCCTCCACCCTTCCCTATTTACAAAGACTTTATTTC